GGACAGCAAGGGCAGGGCCGCGGTGACAGGGCAGCAGGTGGCCGTCCTGGGCGCCGGCTCACGGGCGTGCTGAGAATTCACCGCGCGAGCCGCCGCCGCTGCCCCCGCCTCCTCCTTTTTAACTTCCGTGCGTCTTTCTTTGAGACAGGGTCTCCCTACGTAGCTCGGCTGGCCTCCAACTCCCAGCGATCCTCCTGTCTCAGCCTCCCGCCTGGCCCTGTCATTTGGGACCAGTGAGATCCTTCTGTTGAGGGAGAGGGGGGCTGGGAACGGGACCTGGCCAGCTTGGCTTTGGCCCTTGGCCCAGGTTTCTCTTTGGAGGAGAAGCCTGCAGTGTTTGTGTGGATTAGTTCCTCCTTCCTTATCTCGAGCACGTCCCTGCCCCAGCAGCCATAGTGGAGGAGGGAGACCCTGCCTGGGCCCCAAGCGGCCTGCCTCCTCTGCGGTCCGCGCCCTGCCTCTGAGATGGGTGGATGCCCTCTGATCTGTGTTGTGATATCTTTTTGGTGGAAAAGAAACAGTGTCCTCGTTAAACAAATAGCATTTTATAACTGCTAAAGCAGAAGCTGGCGTGGTGACGCTCGCCTGTAATCCAGCACCTGGGAAGCTGAGGCAGGAGGATGCTGCTGAGCTTGAGGCCAGCCTGGGCTACAGAGAGACCCTGAGAAACACCTCCAAAAGTGAGCAAGACAGACAGGTCACTCGTCACGCCACACCCTACCTGTCCTGCCCAGTGAGTGTGGAAGGAACACGGGCACCACCGTTACACTCTGGGACTGCTGTGAGCCCAGGAGGAGAGGAGGACTGGGCATCCGGTGTCCTGGGTGCTTTGCCGGGGCCCCGGGGACGGGGCTGTTCAGTGGCTGCTGATTCAGAGCCCTGTGTCCCAGGCTAGGGCTCAGGGAGGCAGAGGCAGGAGGCCCTCCGATGATGGCTCCGAATCTTTCGGGACGGGTGGCAGGAGCTGTGTTCTGGGCCGGAGGCCTGCAGGGGAGAGGGTCCATGATCCCTCCGTACCCCCCGCCGCTGCCGGGGACCCGGGTGCCGTCCACGGTGTCACCCATCTCGGGCCGGTGCCCATTCGGCCGGGGAGAAGTGACCCTCTGCAGGGTCACAGAGCCGGTCATACACAGGGTGGCTGGACCAGCAGCCGTGCGCCCCTCTTGGTTTTGTTGCTTGGCTTGTTTTGGCTTTTTTGAGAGAAGGTCTCACTATGTGTTCAGCCTGGCCTTGGACTCACTGTGGTCCTCCTGCCTCAGCCTCCCGAGTGCTGGATGACAGGATGCGTCACCATGCATCCCTTATTCTTAGGGGTGTGGGTGGCCTGGGCTGACCGAGGGAGGCAGAGGCAGGCGGGTCTGTGGCATGAGCTGCTGTGTTCCCGGGCGCAGGCGCAGGGTGCGGGCTTGTTGGTCGCTGGCCGGTGGGTGCATGGGCACCGCAAGGGCAGCTGGCAGGGCCCGAGAAGTACCGCAAGGAGGAAGCAGCCAAGCCCACCAAGTGTGCAGAGTCCCTGCCCCTGGTGCAGACTTCCAGGGTGCATCACACGGGCATAGGAAGGGTCCCGTGAGAAGAATTCTCAGCAGGTGCCGGCACAGGGGAGAAGTCCTTTCTTTGAGCATTCGGGAGGCTGAGGCAGGGGGATCACCGTGGGTTCAAGGCCAGCCAGGGCCACATGGTGAGACCTGGCCTCGGGAACCATCTGGGAGTGTGGGTCACTAGCGGCGCTGCTCCGCCTTCCACCCTGGCTCCCCGCCTGCAGATGCCCTGCTGCCCCTCTATTTTCCGTATTTCCTATGTCGTTTTTGAGGCACGGTCTTGATACAGGGAGAGATGTAGCTCCCACTGCCAGATGGCCGATGCGCCATTCGTGTCTCCTGAAGTTGAAGAACGAATTGTAGGAAAACGGAGGTTAAAGAGTAGGAAACTCTGCTGGGGAACGGGAATGGGGACTAGGAGGAGCCCCTGAGAGGGAAGAGCTCCAGACCAAGGTCACGCGGGGTGGGCACCACGCGGGTAAGGACTGTGATCAGCCAATGGGATGACAGTGCGGTCACCGCAGTAACACAGGTGTTAACCTGCAGCCAGGTGCGGCTCGGTCCATCTGCAGGGAAGCCCGAGGGCGGGGCCGTAACCTGAAGCCTCCATCCACCCTCAGGGAAGTGTGCGGATCAGGGCGGCTGCTGTGACTAATTTTCTTCAGGTGGCCTCCAGCCACAGCCTTAAGCTGCCTTCCCCGAGGGCCCCCGAGGGCCCAGCCCTGTCCAACTGCTTACAATACTCTACCTGACTCAGCTGTCTCTCTCAGTCTTGCTGTGGAGCCCAGGCTGGCCTGGAACTCGCAGCGACCCCCCTGCCTCAGCCTACCGAGTGCTGGGAAGACAGGCGCGCACCACCCCGCTGGCTCCTCAGTGGGTTCTGCTTCACAGGGAAAGTTGTGCTCTTGGTTCCGGAGGTACAGGAAACACCGTTTCTTTCCTCTTCTCTCCACCCAGGTGGTGCTGGAGTGGAGCCGAGACCAGTACCACGTCCTGTTCGACTCCTACAGGGACAATGTGGCCGGGAAGTCCTTCCAGAGCCGGTGAGGCCACGCGGCGTACGCTGTCCGCCTGGCAGCAAGTCTGGGCTCTGACGGTGAAATGTGGGGGGCAGGGGTGTCCCCAGGGCCCGGCCAGGGTCAAAACCCAATTCCCAGAGTCCCTGCTGGTAGGGCCGCTGTGGCGCGGGCGGGTAGGCACATGGCTTGTGCCCCCAGGCCTCGGGTCCTCACCACCATACAGCGCCCCCGGGGTGAGCGACCCCACCCTCCTCCCTGCTAACAAATGAGTCTCTGCTCCTTTTTGCTTTTCCTGGAAACCACTGCTTGTGTTTTTCTGCATCATCACAGCAGGATAGTAGCACCTCGGTTCAGGAACTTCATTTGTTCTCCGATTTTGGAGAAGCCGCCCAGGATCGCGTTCATCACCCGATGATGCGGGATCTGTCTGCTTTCAAACCAAATTCTAAGCGAAAGCGTTCATGAATTGAGGCGCTGCTGCTAGGGCTGAAAACTGTCCAAACCACGTGGAAAAATAAAAACTCAAGGCCTTTCCCTGGGCAGCCCCAGCATCCCTCAGAGCGACACTGCTGTTTGCTTTTCCTCCCAGTACGGGGACTGCACGGAAGGCTTTCTCATGGAGCCACGCTCCCAGCCCTTTTTATTTATTTGGGTTTTTCCAGACAAGGTCTTGCTCTGTAGCCCAGGCTGTCCTTGAACTCACAGCAGTCCTGCCTCAGCCTCTCCTGGGGTAGATCATAGGTACGCACCATCTCAGCTAGCCCTCTTTTACTGTGAGACACGGACTCGTCAAGTCACTGAGTTGTCCAGACCGGACTAGAATTTGCAGTCCTCCTGCCTCAGCCTCCCCGGCACAGCTCAGGCACCTAACCTCACTAGGAACTGCTCTTGATGAATCCTTGTTTCAGATTCTTCTTTGTTATTCAGACTTCAAAAAAGGAACGTGGGCCCTTTCCTTCTTACTCACTTGGAGGCAGTGAGTGTTTCCATTTCCTGTAGTGGTGCGGGCTAAGCACAGGCAGAGACCAGGCCTCTGGGCGGGCGCACAGGGGTGTCTGCGCCGAGAGAGGCTGATTGCATCACTGAGAGCTCTGAAAGGCCCACGTCCCGGCCCTAGGCTCTGCCTGCCTGTGCCCATCGACGTGGTTTACACCTGGGTGAACGGCACAGACCTGGGGCTGCTCAAGGAGCTACAGCAGGTCCGGGAGCAGATGGAGGAGGAGCAGAAGGCCATGAGGTAAAGGGGATTTAATCTCATTTCCTCGTTCTTTGAGACGGAGTCTCGCTCTGTAGCCCTGGCTGACCGTGAACTCACTGTGTAGGCCCTTTTGGCCTTGAACTCGAGGTGATCCTCCTGCCTCAGCCTCCAGAGTGCTGGGATTACAAGTGTGTACCTCCACTCCTGGCAGTTTTTTTCCTTGTCCCTTCCTTTTTCCTCCTTTCAGTTTTCATTTTTAAAATGAGTTTTCCGTGTCTCCCCAGCTGCAGTCCTTTTCTCTCCTGCCTCCCTGATTCCTCCGAGAGCCCCGACCCCCTTCTGTGTCCGTATCCGCGGGCACCACGGTCCCGAGCCTGGCACCACCTCGCTGTGCAGCAGACTGTCCGTGCTGGGGACAGCTGGCCTGCTGTGAGGCTCAGGCCTGCAGGCACCGTCGCGGTCACTGTGCTCTCTGGCGCCAAGCGGCACCACAAGCCATTCCTGTCTCCACCTGAGTCCGCACTGGGCCAGTGTGTAATGAGGTGTTCGTTTCCCCTTAGAGAAATCCTGGGGAAGAACACGACAGAACCCACGAGGAAGAGGTGAGGCCCGGAGCTGGGTGTCCCCGGACGTGGCCTGTTCTCGGGTACACGGGTCGGGACGCACGGCCCGCGTTCAGCCCCTTCTGCTGGTTTCCGGGCTGGAGCCCCTTGCGGGGTCGGCGGGAGCGCATGCGCGGGCCGGAAGCCGGCAGG